TCCGCCCCCGCCCCCGCCCCCGGTTCTGCTCCCGCGGCCTGGGGGAGCCGCACTGGCCCGCCCACTGTCGCCCCCGTCCCCGACACCGGCTCTGCTCCCTCGGCCTGGGGGAGCCACGATGACCCCAACCCACTCACCAGCTTGATCCCGTACATCAGGCCCACGATGGCGGCCACCAGGGTGAGGGTGACCAACACGATGGCCCAGTCCGGGATGGAGCCCTTCTGAGGCTGCGGGCCTGAGCACGGGAGAGGGATGGCGGCTGAAGCAGTGGGCCCTGCCCGCCCCATGACGTCCGCCCTCCCATGCCACTGTGTGACCCCGACACCGTGTGACCCACAACACCTCTCTCTGTGGGGTCCTCTCCTGCCATCTTGGAGCAGGACCCAGAGGAGGGCGATTCAAGGGCTTCATCCCAAACCCCGGCCTCTGCCCTTGCACCTGGGACCGAGGGGTCGTCCCCGAACGCACACTGCTCCTCTTTCTGGACTCCTCCCTGGTCTGGGCTCTGCTCCGTCTCCCCATGTCTCTGCACCCCCCAGGGCCCTCAGGGCCCTCTCCTTCCTCCAGCCTCACCCTTCCCACCCCACCCTCCTTCCAGCCTCATTTCCCTCCCTGTCTTCCTGCTCTCAGCCCCTGGGGAGGCTCCCCCAGCTCCCCCTGCTAGGAATGAAGGGCAGGGAGGAGGAGGGCAGAGGGAAGAGGAGGGCAGAGGGAGGAGGCCACACCCCTGGAGGGGACACTCCTTGTCCTGGAAACACAGACTGGGGCCTGGGGAAGGAAGAGGCCGGGCTTCCAAGGGAGCAGTCAGGTAACAACTCCCCGTGGAGCCCTAGAACCTCTTTAAGACACAGGCCTTGGGGCCAGCAAGTGGTGTGGTGGTTAAGGGCGCTGGACTCCCACATGGTCAACCACAGTTTGATTCCCGGACCTGGTGGCTTGCGTTCTCACTTTCTCTCTTTCTCTCCCTCTCTGGTCAAATTAAAATTAATAAATAAATAAAGTTAAGTAAAATAATTCTTTAAAACAAGGACAGAGCCATCCTCAGGCAAAGCACAGTGGAAAGCGGGCGCCCATGGCTGCCCCGCCCTCTCCGGCAGCCAGGGAGAGCTGTGCGGGCGTGAGAGAGAACAGCCCCACGGACACGTGCTGTAAATCACCCTGTGCCAGGGAGCCGGCCTTACCGGGCAGGACGCCGGGCCCCGGGGACACCGTAGGCCCTGCAGCTGCCGTGGCCGCAGGAGCTGCCGACACA